GCGCGCGCGTGCGCGCGCGACTGGGGGCTGTCCGTGCTCCGGGGCTGAGGCTCTATGCTGGGAAAGCCACAGGACTGACCGTGCAGACTTTCCGGCACGAGAGGCCTGGGGTCTGGAGAACCAGGAAGGCTTTGGAGCTGGACCTGGAAGACGGGTGGCCAGGGGATGTCTGCCGAGGGGGTGGGGAGCTGGCCAAGAGCAGAGGGGGCCGGGCCCTTCCTGTCTGTTCTCTGTGACGCTAAGCTGTTCTCTTGCCCCTGCAGGCCATCCCCGGTGCTGCTGAGCTGTGGCATCCCCTTTGACGTGGCCAGGAATGCGCTTCGGCTCAGCGTGGGCCGCAGCACCACCCGGGCCGAGGTGGACCTCGTGGTGCAGGACCTGAAGCAGGCCGTGGCCCGGCTGGAGGGCCAGGCCTAGTGTCGAGGCCTGTGCCAGGGTCACCTTCCCTACAGAGTTGGAGTGGGCGGCAGCTCCCTCTCTCAGTGGGTCAGTGTGGAGCGGGTCCCCCGGGCATACAGACCCGGAACACGTCACACACCTGTGGGCCTATCGCTGTCACTGCTGCCCAGTGGCACGAGTTGAAGTGGAGACGCTTTGGCTGTGCCCACACTCCCCCTAGGAAGCGAGCACCCCCTTCCTGGAAGGTGGCATTTTTATCAGGAAGATGAAGTCCTAGTATTTATAATTGACTAGAGGCCCGGTGCATGAAATTTCGTGCACTGGTGGGAGTCCCTCAGCCTGGCCTGTGCCTTTTCGCAGTCCAGGACCCCTCGCTCCTTACCACCCGCCTACAGCAGAGGCAGGAGAGGCTCCCGCCACCTCGCTGTGCTCACCAGCTGTGAGCCTGGCTTCTGGCTGAGCGGTGCTCCCATGTAGAATGCACTGACCACCTGGAGCTCCTGCATTGAGCATCTGCCCCCTGGTGATGAGTGCACATCATAGCGACCAGTCCTTTCGCCATTCAGTCGATTTGCATATTAGGGTTTTATTATATAGGATTGTTGTTATCATGAAAATAGGAAAGGAAGCCTGGTCTTTTCTGCAATCACAGCCACCCTGTATGTGTTTGCAGCCCTTTCCAGACGGCCAGGCCCAGGTCCCCCCATTCCCAGCCCTGCCTGTCACTCAGGACTTGGGCCTCCCCACCCAGAGTCCTCAGGGCCCTCCTGTCTTCCCCCTCAGATCGCTTACTCAGGGTCTCAGCTCACAGGGCACTGAGTTGGGGGTAGCCAGGCCCATGTGACTAGGTTGTTCCCAAGGTGGAAACCAGTTTCTCCCTCGCTCTGCTTTCACCTGATTTTACCTGGGGAAGAATTCTTCTGTCCTCCCAAATGCTCTGTGGGGTTCTGGCACACTTCAAATGTCATGTCCACACAGACTTTACATAGGAACGACTTTTTAATTCACACTTTTAATGGGCAGTTTTAAGGTGCAAAGAACTACACGATGACATTGAGGATACAATTGTCGAGTTAAATAAACCAATAAAATATTCCAGTGCATGTATTGGGCGTATTCCCAGTGGACACTTCTCTTGGTGATCCAGAGTATGAGCTGCTTATACAGAAACCCCAGCTCATCACTGGGTAGTCCCCCTTCAGCTTAAGACATTCACCTTGAGTCTGACTGGCGTGGCTCAGTGGTTGAATGTTGACCTATGAACCAGGAGGTCAGTTTGATTCCCGGTCAGGGCACATGCCCTGGTTGCGGGCTCCATCTCCAGGGTGGGGCATGCAGGAGGCAGTCCATCAATGATTCTCACCATTGATGTTTCTATCTCTCCCTCTCCCTTATTCTCTGAAATCAATTTTAAAAAATAACACAATCACCTGAGACTGTCACTGGAAGCCCTGGGAAGGCAGGTCCCTGATGTGCAGTGTCCCCCTCCAGGGAGGCTGTGGGTGCCCAGCTCCAGGTCTGGGAGGTGCACCCTGTGGCTCTGAAATATGCACCTGAGACCGTTCGCTGCAGCCCCTCAGACTCTGGTTGGTGGGTGGGCTGAGGCAGGGCCTCCAAACCCTCGGTCTCCCTTGGCGTCTTCCTGTCCAGTGTCTACCCTGTGCCCAAGGCTGGCCCTGCGCAGTCAGCTGAGGGCCAGAACCCAGCGTAGGTTTCCAGGTGGGGAGACTCCTTGTATGATGATAGACCCCAACACTCCTGGTGGTATGTTCCCCAGAAACGGCCCCATTGTGGATGGGTCTGCCCTCCCGTGACATATCTCCCAAGTGGCTTTCTCAGGCCAGCACCAGCTCAAGGCTGCTTCCCGGGCTGGGGGAACAGGTGCTGGGGGCCTGCTGCTTTCTTCAGAGGATCTTGCAACTAAGCTGTGGCTGGATGTGGGAAGTTCATCCCAGGCTGAGACATATCCTCAGCCCTCGCCTCATGGGAAGAAGAGGCATGGCCCAGCGAGGGGCAGTGTCCACTGGCCGGTGCCCAGCCCCTGATCTCAACACGGTGTGAGCCCTTCCCCTCTACCCTGTGCCCTCTCCCCACCACGACTCAGCACAGCGGAAGTGGCTCAGGCAGGGCTTGTGGCCCAATCCCCAAGGCCTGCCCCCCCCCCCCTTGCACCCTGCCGCCTCCCATCTGCCCTGTGGGCTGCTTATCGGGTAACCAGAGCTGGGAGCTGCGTCCACGCCTGAAACAGGAAGCCCGGGCCTGTGCGTGAGCCCTGAGAGCCTGCGGGTGGCTGGGCAGGAGGATGGAGGAGCAGCGGGCGCTGCTGGCCGCCAGGGACGGGGACCTGGCCACCTTGGAGCAGCTGCTGGAGGCTGGCACCCTGGGC